AACTGTGACCTTTCAGAAGTAGATCAACAAAACTTTTTCCCATGGCACTGCAGGGTGGATTGAAATTGCCAACCTCTAAGGTAGTGATGGAGTGCCAACTTTTGCACCACCCCAGGACCTGGGAAATTGTTGCTGTTGGGTACCATTGAGTCTATCCAACTCATTGAGTAGAACTGCCCTATAGGGTTTTCTTGGCTATAATCTTCACAGAAGCAGATCATTAAGTCATCCAGTCAGCAGGCAACCTTTTGTTCAGCAACTGAGCACTTAACTGTTGCACCACATGGGCTTCTTCAGGGAAATAGTAGGAGGAATGAAATTAGATAGACAAAAAGAGTTATTTTGAAGAAGGAAGTAGTTTTTGGTTTTGGAGAGCAATTGGAGCTGAATGATAATGATTCACATGTAGGAGAATCTGGTTTTCTATGAAGCTGAGCTTCACCACAGGCTGATGAAGATGCCAAATCATAAAATGAAATGGGAGGCAGGTACAATGCTGCCACTTCCTGATTAAATGCATTCACTACACCTAAGTGCTTCTTCCTCATTTGTAAAGTGGGGTTAATCATGCTGGGAGCTCTGGTAGCGTAGTGGCTATCTGACTGCTAACCAGAAGGCTGGGTGTTCAAATCCACCAGCCACTCCTAGGAAGGAAAATTGGACAATCTACTTCCTTAGAGATATTGCCTTGGAAACCCAAGGAGGGGTCACTATGAGACAGAAACAACTCGACAGCAGTGAGTTTGGGTTGATGCTTACTGGTTGCAAAGAGTTGTGAAGAGCAGAGAAAACAAGTGTAAAGTATCTAACAGTGTGTGTCTGGCACCTAATAAACATCCAGGAATGCATGAGACGAAGAATTACAACAATAACTTAAAATCAACAGATGTCACTGAGTCAACTTCATCTCACAGCAACCTCATGTTTGTCAGGATAGAACTGTACTCCATAAAGTTTGCAATGGCTGATTTTTCAGCAGATCATCAGCCCTTTTTTCTGAGGTCCTCTGGCTGGACTCAAACTACCAACCTTTCAATTAGCAGTGGAACACGTTAAATATTTGTGCCACCCATGGACTCTAGCAATAACATAGTATAACAGAAAATAAATGAATAAAAGCTTGAGGAAAAATTAACTCAGTTAATGAGTAAGGTGAGTCCATTTGTGAAGTACAGGATGAGAGCAAGAACGGGGTTTGAGTGAAACACTTTGCCAATATTTTTTTTTTTTTTTAAAGAGACTGGCTTCTTTTGCCACAGAAGATTCAGTGGTGTATTCATTTCTCATTTCTTTACCTCCCTTGACTCATCAGCAGGAGTGGGAGCTCAGACAAAAGGGAACTCTTGTAGCATTCTGCTTAAGATTCTCCTCATATAACATTTGGTGCTCGGCCCATTTTCTGTCAGGCTTCCTGAGATCGGAAAGCAATGCATAAAAATTCTCAGGCACTCCAGTGAACTCTCCGGAGCTCCAGACTGAAATTTACAGCCGCCTGTAGACATCTCCATCTGCAAGTCCTGCAGGCAACGCCAACTCACTCTGTCCCAAACCAAATTAATTACCCTCCCACACGCCTGTACCCCCTCCAGAGTCCTCTAGTTAGGTTAATGCCATGGCAAATTTACCAGGTACAGAATCTAGAAATTTCAGTTCTTTTATTTCTTCTCCCACACTCCCCTAGGTCAGTCGGCTGCCAGCTTCGTAGATTCACTCTGTTGTAATGTTTTATCCACTCTGTTTTATGACTTCCATCGTCCTCTCCAGGACCACAGCAATGGCAAACTAGCTGCTCTCCCTCCAGAGTCGCCTGCACTCCACAACTCCGGAGTGCCCCACTTGCCTAGACTACACTGTAAATGATGTCCTAATCTGGGAAGCTGTGTGATGGGTGTCCATGCTCCCATATTCTCGCTTGGCTAACCCCATTACTGTTCTGAAATAGAAATCACTTCTCTTTCTGAAAGCCTTCAGTACTTCTCCATTCACCCTACAGAAAGAGCCCCAAATCCCAAATTTCACCCATTTCCTTCCTGTGGTATCTCTTCAAGCATTCTAGACAGTGTGGTCTGTCTAGCCACGCCAAACGGCAGGTAGTACCCTGCAAGATAATGTGCACTTTTTAACCTCAGGGTGGTGGCTCCTGGAATGTTCTCCACTCCTCCTTTCTGATCTAGCTTGAAGGTCTTCTCCTCAGGGTAGCCACTCATCCAGCTCCTGTTTCTGAGCAGGCCCCACTAGTGGCACTTGCTTGTGTTTATTTTACCAGTGCTCAGCCTGGGTACCTCTCACCAGTGTCAGATTACCCAATAAACAAAGGTAAACACGGACTCACTTGTTCCTACTTACTCATCTGTAGTGAACAATTTCACATTTTTTTTTTTCACCACATGAGATTCTGCTTCTAGGTTTCACTGGCATCTGTCATCTGTCTCTCTCCCAACCCCATAGCACCTTCCTACAGAATCAAAGCCTCTTTCCCAATTTGCAATCCCTGACAGGGATTGAGTACCCAGAAAGAAAGGTAAGCACAGGCTTACATAGGAATCTGTAGTGAAGAGTTTCACATGGTTTGTACCATTTGTGGAACTGTTCACTACAGATTAGTAAGCACAAGTCAGCCCATGCTTACTTTGCTTATTGGGTAACCTGGCTCTGTATCTCACCCAGACTTTCCAGGGCTTGAATACAGAGATCATATCTTACTATTGCTTAGTCTCCAGGGCATTTTCAATTGACTGTTAACCAGTCTACAAATAATCGTCTTGAATTTTTATTTTTAAAATGGTGATTTTACAAAAGAAAGCTTTTAAAAATTCCCAAAGAAACAGTTAACAATTTTATTTGCAATGTACCCAAACAGTGAACTCCCTCAGCTCTACGGCATTAAGAACACTTTTTAGAGCCCCTTACAGTTTTATTATTCCAGGTGCACAGCTACCATAAGAGGCCTTTGTGGACCATTGCTATAAATGTCGCTTGTTCCCATTAAGCCAAATATATCATGTATGGGATGATTGTCTAAATTTATGTTGACTATTCTGGAGGGTAGTAAATCAGGTAATAGATCAAAATATCTGAAGCTGAAAAATACAGAAATGAACTTGTATTTTATAATCTGAGGATATTTTTTTCTTGAGCTCAACACAATATATGTTTGTCCCTTTTGTCTGTGAGACACTTCAGAACAGAAGCAGTCGCATTTAAGAGTAGATATGAATTAACCTGAGGTGAAGGGAAAGAATAGTAAATAAAATAAAGAGAGAGAGAAGCAGCTAAATTTGGCCATGATTTAAATAACCCAAATTAGAATCATGACTATCTCAGTTAGGTGTCTATTTTAGGTAAAAATGATGAGGAATTCTGAGTGTTGAGGAAAATATGAAAAGGAATTATTTTGATTCTGATTGATCATGTAATTTTCTCACTTTTTTTTTCATTTAAATCCGTGGAAGATTGAAGTCTGTCACTTAATTTCAAACACTGCGTTCCTTAGGCTCATTGTATGTTAATAATTAATAATAGCTATAAAACCTGGGATAAGGAAGCTTTGAGAAGACAAATTAAAATAGATGGACATATTTTAAAATTATGTTGCATGATTACATTATCCATAATTTAGCTCAAAAATGAATGTCAAAAGAAAACAGGTATCTTTGTGTCTTTTCTCAGTGTAAGGTACGTAATCTTATAGAGTCGTTCTAGAGTTTGGAAATCATTAATACTTTATTCATTCATTTATTTTTTGTATTTTTCTCTCCATGATAATCTGCTCAGAGAGTTAACATGCTTGTAATGTAAGAAATTAGCAACAAATTATTACTCTCTAGAAAATATTTATTGACACTTGTATTTTCTTTCAATATTCTGACAAATAAACATAATACATAAAATACAGTAAAATGCACTTTTCCCCTTTCAAATAAATATATTTTACTCTTGTAAAAAATTTAATAATCTGTGTAGTTCACCACAGTATCTTAAGCAGTGAAATAAAGCAAAAACAATCTTTAGTTAAACTGTTACTTATCTTAATGTTTCTCATAGCATTTTGCTGAAGAAAATAAACGCTGCTCTCTGTAGTATTAAATTCTGACTTGGAGACTCTTGCTTCTTATTTAGGGAGGGCAAAGATAAGTTCCTTTGGAAAGTATTTAGTGTCAATAGAGTTTCAGTTTTGGAAAAAAAATAGCATCGACATCTTTACTGAACGAATCAAATTATGTGTAAACTTTCTTGTTAATACTTCCTAGAGACCAGACTACATTCTGAATAATAATGATTTATCACACTGATAATTTCTCCTCATTATCACAATGGTAATTTTTCAAAATTAGTGTTTCTGTATTTAAACTAACAGTTAAGTATGTAATATAAACCCAAGACAGAATTTTAAAGCTCTTTTAACAGGAAAGGCTAAGAATGGTGGTATATAGAACAAATTTATGCTTTTGTCAATTGTTATACTTAGTAGTTATTAAAACTGAAATCTACTGAATTATACAGACTTCACACAGACTCTAATATACACAGAGATCCCTGATCAGTTTAAGACAATATGTTAGTTTCTCTTTTAAGTGGTAATGATATTTCAGTAACCAGCAAAATTAATCACATTTAGGTAGTCACCAATCCTCAGAGTTTTCTTATGTATAAACTATTCACCCTCAAGAGAATATATCACCAAATAACAAAACTCATTAGTACTGTCTAACTTCCTATGTTAGCAGTTAACTGGTACTTTATACACTAATAACCTGTGGAAATAAATCAAACCTTACTGTAGTTCCAATCCCACCACAACGGGGCCCATTTCCATGGATGCAGAAAAACTAGCAAAATCATGCCTTCTCAAAGCATACTGCATTCAGTACAAATACACAGGCCATAAAGTGGTATTAGATTTATCCACGGCATTTTAGACAGGGTATTAACTGTATGTCCAGGTGGTGACTCATAATATGAAACATTCCCCTCTTCATTTTAAAGGGCAGACAACTAACTATATGTGTAAGTATTGTTTTATGGCAACATTTTTATTTTTACACATTCTGAAGCAGATAACTGTGTGTCTGAGAAGTCATCAGTCCAACAAAACAGTCGTGTGATTTCCTTCCTTGACATGTTCTATAATTCCTCCATCTCAAAGTGTGTATTAAAGCTGTTCGCCATGGATGTGTGTTCAAAGATCCTCGACAGGCTGGGTTTTAATAGCTCTACTGAGTGACATGACAAGTGCTGAGAGGTGTCATTCTTCAAGGACATCATTTGGTCTGTCCCAGGCTCCCTTCTATCATAGTACAGAGCCCAGAGCAGAGTAATGGTGAGAATCATGGCCAGGATTTGTGTCACTCCAATGGAGATCCCCAGAAACCTTAGCACTTGCAGTTGCTTGGTTCCTCTCAAAAAGGAATACATTTTCTTCCCACAACCCTGTAAAAGAAATAACACAGTCAACATTACTCTGGACGCATTATATAGGGCCAAAATTAGTGAAAATAAACAATCTGTACCACTTAATGGAATCAAACAATTTGATTCATAAAGTTTAGGACAGTGATTCTCAACAGGAAAGCCCATAAGAAGCTGGAGTTGTGTACCTAGTAAAATGCCTGCCTAGGTGATTATGAGAGCCTCCTGCTTCTCGTGGTGCAATGGTTAAGCACTCTGCTGCTATCCAAAAGGTTGACAGTTTGAACCCACCAGCCACGGAGGAAAGGTCTGGCAATCTGTTCTTGTAAAGATTTATAGCCTAGAAAACTTCACGAGCCATTTCCACTCCTAGAATGTCACCATGAGTCAGAATCCACTCAATGCCGTGCAACAGTCCTTCTAACATCTAGACCAGGTTCCTGGGGTGGTGTAAACTGTTAACGTGCTCAGCTACTAATCAAAAGGTTGGGGGTTCAAGTCCACCCAAAGGTCATCAGAGGAAACATGTGGCAATCTACTGCCATAAAACCATCCATTGAAAATCCTATGGAATATCAATTACTTAAGAGTTAACTTTCCAAAAGAATATCCTGTTCTTGAGATGGTACTTCAGACTTCTCTCAGCTTTTCTAAACCTTCTTAGAAACAATTCCAGGTTTTACTGTTATTCTGTTTCATCTTTATTAAAATGATTCAATCTGAGCACAGCCTTGCATACTTTGAGCTAGTCTAATAATCATGCCTACGGTTTATACTTTTCAGGGTAACCTTCGTCACTTTTTGTTGAAAAGTAAGGTACTAATTCTAAAAAATAAGAGTATACATGAGTTTCTATATAATCTATTGTACTATCCATAGATATTTAGTTGCATAAACAAACACTTCTGTTGAGGGAGTCAAAAGCGGAAACAGAAATGTTAGAGTTCAAAACTGGATTCCGTTTCAAAAAGGGTATGTAACTTGGAAAAGGAGAGAACAGAATTGAACTCATTCACTTTTCTCAAAATAAAATACTTTGAGGTGATTTTACTTGCACATGTTTTCTACTTAAATACAGTCATCTTAGCCCTAGGTTAATAGCCTCACATGATTCAAAGGTAGGAGTAAGACAAGTTGGCCAACGTACTTGACTTGCTGCAGTATTAAAATTCTGGTCAACTGTTAACTATAAATAATAACACATCCTCTATGAGAGCAAAAGTACTAATCCCTGCATTTCCGGGAACCTATTTAAAGGCATGTCAGGATGCCCCATTTCACTGGTGGGAATTATATACTTTGAAATTATTCTCTGATCTATCTCCAAAATGAGTTTCTAAAATTGGTAGCACACCCATAGCTTCTCAGTTCTTGAAAGTCACAGGCCACATCAAAGAATTAAGTAGTCTTTAAATGTGCTTGGGGAGATAAAATATAAATAGACTCTAGATGTCAGTAATTCCACCACTGATAGTTTTGTAATTTTTGTAATTGATTTTTTTTTTTTTGGTAAACGTGATTCTCTAGTTTGAAATCATCGTGTTAATCACTGGGCACAAATACATAATTTCAGAGCTATTCCTTTTAGAACTGAAGACCTGGATGATGACAGCAGTTCATGAGTTCATGGGCTTTGAAGTGGGTTGACCTAAAAGTTCTCTACTGATAACATTAAGCTCTGCAGGGAAATAAGAGCTTCCTTAAAATAAATAAATAAACAGCTGGCAGTAAAATTCACTGGAGGATATTCTATTCTCTTCACAGTAGCTCTAACTAAACCCAAGTATAGGAAATGCAGGAGAAAAAGTATTCCTTAGTATTTCTAAATATATGGCAGTCTTCATATTTTATTCAGTCCTCACAATATCCTCATTAGAGAGAGAGAGTGACCAAATTGAAAAGATTGCACTTGCTGATCATTTTTTACTGAGTGTCACTGTCATTAGTGAGGACAGTTCAGCAGTAGCAGACTCACCCTGCCCAAGAGAACAGAATATTCACTAAGTGCTCATTTAGATGTCTGCTGTTATTGGAGTGTTTGCATCACCCCTAAGTAATTGACTATAGCGAGCTCTCCCTCACACTCACTGCCATCAAGTCGATTCTGACTTACAGTGAACCATATTGGGTTTCCAAAGCTGTAAATCTTTAAGGAAGTAGATTGCCTCATCTTCCTCCCATGAAGCAGCTGGTGGGTCTGAACTGCCAACCTTCTGGTTAGCAGCCAAATACCTTAGCCACTGAGCCACCAGAGCTGGAGGATGTTAAATCAAGCCGAGTGAGAAACCGGACCCAATCCCAAAAACCTTTACCTGGAAAAATCTACCTTCAGCAAGAACAAACATATAAAATCAAAAAAGCCCATTCTTTGCAGTCAGTACAAAGCAAAACGAGGCAAATCAGCTAAATCATAGACTGCTAATTTCCATATTTACTTTAACAAATCCCTCAGTAAATTACTGTTATTGCTGTCATTATTATCATTAGCAGATACTGTTCACCAAAGATTTGTGTTTAATATGTGCCAGGTGCTGGGTGAGGTTTTCTCAGGCAGTTACTCAATTTATCTTCGTAAACGCTGCAAGGAGGCGGTGTTGCTGGGTGCCTTCAAGTCGATTCAGCTCACAGCAACCCCCTGTGACAGAGGAGACCTGCCCCAGAGGGTTTCCAAGGCTGCAGTCTTTATGGAAGCAGATTGCCAGGTCTTTCTCTTGCAGAGGCACTGGGTCAGTTCAAACTGCCAACCTTTTGGTCAGCAGCTGAACGCTTAACTGTTCACAGAACCAGGGCAAATGAGTATGATTATCTTTACAGATAAGAATATTCACGTTTAGGAGTGAAAAAAACGACACAGTCAGCTTTCTTCTCACCAGGTATCCCACATTTCAAAATTTTAGTGTCTAATGGATGGGCTTTGGAATCAAATAAATCCAAGCTGAGTCACTCACTAGCTCCATGATGCTAGGCAAGTCATTTAACCTCTTTATGCCTTCCTTTTCGCATCTGTAAAATATATATAATAACATTATACTTTCTTCATAGTGTTGCCTTAAGGTTTGAACGAGGTAATGCATGTAAAATACTTGTGCGTAGAGGTATGTAAATACGTATCTTGTATGAAAAATCCAATGTGTACTTTTCAATCAATTTGCTTTAGCTCTCAGCTATTATTGGTTGTATATACTGCAAATGAGCACTGTTTGAAGAGCTTTTTACAGAGTGATTTATTGAACTCTCCAAACAACCCCATGAGATGAGAAAATTAAAGCACAGACAGGTCTAACACTTGCTCAAGAATTAACAGCTAATAAGGAGCAGATCCAAGGCTTAAACCCAGAGGCTCTGCTTCAAAGCCATCTTAACTTTTGAAACATGCTACTTGACCAAAAGGAAACCTCATTCTGCCTCTCCTTCCCTAACTTCCTTACATTTCTTCTCTTCCTAAAAGAGAGTGTCTCCTCTGTCCCTAAGTGTTACCATTCCTCAGAGTTCTGTCCGTGGCCCCAGATACTACCTCATCTCTCTGTGTGTCTCATCTCCCACTCCATGCCTGCATTGAACACATATACAATGATGACACCTGTGTAAACTGTTAGCCCTCATACCCTCAAAGCCATTCTCCACTTCTTCCATAGTGAAAATGCTATGGAAACAGAGCCTTCTAACCAGAGAACACATTTCCCAGCTTCTCCTGTTCCTAAGCAAAACCATGTGAGTTCTCACCAATGGAAGGGGAGCAGAGGTGAGAAGTACAGGCCTTAATGCACTGGAGATGCTCCTTCCTGCTCCCTCTCCCTCTGCCCACTGGCTAGGACTCGGGACAACCAGAAGCAACTGTGGAAGACAGGAACTATAAAACGTGGCATTGCCTCACCACGCCGAGCCCCACGTATGCAACAGAGCCGCTCAGCAGTCCGAGCAGGTGGCTGGTCCCCGAGAGAGAAATAAACTCTCACCTGAGTCAAGCTATTGTATTTTGAGTTAACCTTTTCCTTAATTAATACATGGAAAATCTTTATCTCTAGCTGTGACATCAACTCCGTTATTGATAACTAGGGTTCTGCACATGCAGTGCCTGGTAGGTACTTTAACGTCAGCATTTCCAAAATGGAACTAATTAAATCCAACCTGCCCCCCCCCCCATTCACAAGAAATGGCTTCTTCATCTATCCAGGGTGCAAATCCAAGTCCTCTCCAGCATCCTGGTGGTATCCCTGTTACTCACTCTTTACAATCCATCACCTCATCCTGTTTCACCCTACCCTCTTTTATATTCATTCCCTGCAACCTTTCTCTGCTTGAAGACTTGATCGTCACTTCAGTCCCCCATCTCAACTCATTCTCTCCCATGGCACCATAATGCTTTTTAAACACACATCTCCAACTGTTACTTTTTCAGTTACTTTTTCAGGTCAAAATATTATCATGGCTTTCAGAGCAGTAAATTCTAAGGGCAAAATTGGCAAGTCTCTAATAATAAAGCACAAAAGGAAAAGTTGTTCGAATAGAGAATAGGTAACAGGAAACTCACAATGGAGTAATGTCAGGAAAGAGAGTGAAAGAGAAGAATTCATTTGTGTACCTGAACCCACAGCAGGCAGAAGAGTTCACAGCCTGATTAGATCAAGCAAAGCATGAAGATAAAAGCGGCTCACCCCACACACACACCAAGCCCAAACTGGTCCTGCAGGGCTTGGAATGATAAAACAGGTATCCCCCTAAGCTGGAGTCAACCTGATCTGCCAGCAGCTGATGAGGAGATAATGAAGTAAGCAGTGAGGCGGGAGCGAATGTCTTTGACTTTACAGAAAAGACCCTTGTGATTGGAACTTCTTGGGCCTGAAAGCTGCCTACCATTTACTATCTGGCAGGAGGCTCTGCGTGTTTTTATCTGAGGATGCAGTTCCATTATTAATAAATCAGAATCCCGTGTCTACTCTGCCCTAAAGTTTCCTTTCATAATAATGCCTCACATTTGTGAACATGTTTGCCTTTTAACTGGGCACCTACTCACAGGATTC